TTGAAGCAAATAATTTTGGAGTAAAAAAAATGTACTGCTTTTAGCAGGACTTGAACCTTTAAGTTGCTTACAATATCGTCCACATATTTTTTTAAGAGAGAAATCTCGACATTCGGTTGACTCAAGCGATTGTCCAAAAGATCGACTATTATGTATAGGAAAATATTGGAGAGGGTGGTGCTCCTACTGCAGTGCCAAAAGCCCGCTTATCAAATTTTCCCATAAAAACATGTACAATAAGTAGTGATCCACGTTAACTCCAAAATTTCCAGAATTTTTGCTTTAGTGAAGTTTCTGTCGCCTTCAGCTTCCGACTTGATTCAACTTAATTTAAAGCATATACTAACACATCAAAATTAATCGTCCAAAATCCCCCAAAATGAATACTGCGATTACCAGTTTTGTAAGAAGAGCTGCAGTTTGAGCATTGGATAAATAGAAAGCATTGGAAAAAAAGTGATAAGATGCGCTCTCAAAATACATTTGAACGGGTTGAGGTCTGGAGCAATACTTCCAAATTAAAAGCCGCAGCATAATAGTGTTACAAAACGAATTAAACAAACTGCACCTTTTTCTGAAAAATGATGTCTCCAATAGCACGGGGGTGTTCGACTTACCACACATGATTATTGTGGAAATGGTTGATATCATGTCTTAGAAATGTAGTTTCGGAGCAAAAAAATATATTAAAAACTACCCATTTGACTTTTCCACCATTCACAAAGGCAACCTCTTTGTGGAAAATTCGGTTGGGGAAGATCTTGTACTGTTTGGTCACCATGAAAGTGCAGTCCCATTTGACTTGCGTTGGTCAGTAAGTTCAGAAATTTAGAATTCTATATAATTCTTCCCAAGTTGCTAAATTAAATTCAATATTTTCTTCCCATTATTATTATTATTAATTTAAATTGGTAATTAAATTACCAAATTTGCTGGTTGCAGAAACATAATTCACTCTTCAGCAGACCCAAATATTTCAAGAACCACTCAGAAATCGAAAAAAGTGGAAGGAGTATTTTTGTTTAAAATTAATTTAAAAAAATCATTCGAATAATACCTCGGCTGACACCCTGCATTTGAAACTGGGCAATAATCAAATATATGGCATAGTAAGTATCTAAATCTTGTTAGCACAATTTCTTGCGTCTTAAAATTCGATAATCTAGAGTTTGAAAATATAAAATATATACAATTTGATACAAAATATTTTCCGGTTCACCATATTGTTAGTTCGTTTTTAAATCGTTACTAATCATATACATTATGACATTGTGATCGCAATAATGTTTGAGGTCAATTGCCATATTCCTATAGTAAATATGCAAAACATTGTTTTTTCAGAGATGATAACAACACAGCACGTGACCTGCAAGGTGAAAGTGGTGGAGGACGGAAAATGTTTGCTTATGAAAATCCCAGTCTTTCATTGTCTGGAGACAGCCTGAAAACTGGATCGACCGTAGATTTTCAAGGAAGCAGAGATTTCATTTGTAAGTAGTTTCATTTAGTCACATAAATAAAAATTGTTTTCAATTGAATAATCTAAAAATTACTTCTTCGAAAACTTTTCAGTTAAAGCTACTTAGTATACAGTCTTTCCTCTGGAATATACTATTTCAAGTTAGCGTAAATTCTAAATATTTTATTGCTTTTCCGTGCTGAGCTTGATTTGTGCAATCTGGAAATTTCATGTCTGAGCATAAATTAATAAATTTACACTTAAATAATTATATGTATACAAGTTGCATTGTGTCTGGCCTAGAAGGAAAGTGAATACAGCAGAAAATTGTGTCAATGTTAATACACCATAGAAGAGTGCGTAATATGCATATAAACAGCGCATTTCCTGGTTTTAATTTTTAAGGAAGTGCTACTCAATGAAACAACATTTTTGTCAACCCTAATGAACATATTTATAAAAATTTACCTTTTAATGGCAAGAAAAATCATAAAGTAATACTTGACATCGTAAACATCATAAAAATCCAAAAGCTTACAAAAGATTTAGTTTTTTTACAAACGGCTTGTTGGATATTTCGCCTCAAAAATTTTTGTCTTTGAAAAAAACAGAATTTACTCACGTCTTTTATTACAGATTGATAAATAGTGCTCCTATTTCGCCATAAGAACGAACTATTTATCAAAAAGTAATGAAATAATTCGTTCTTATTGCTAAAAAAAAGCACTATTTATGAATCTGTAATAAAAGATGTGAGGAAATTATGTCTGACAAAAATTTTTGGGTGAAATACCCAACAAACAGTTTGTAAAAAAAATGAATCCGCCTCAACAATATAGAACTTATCTAAAAGATTTAGTTGAATACACTTTTAACAGCATATTTCCGGATTCAAAAATTAATCATTATCAAGCTTGAGAAGATTTTAATTTCAATTTGCACTTAAGTATAAAAATAATTTAGTGAGAAAGAGCTTGATTTATAAACTATTTAATTGATTAGCTTCAATTTCGCAATATAAATGTACATTAGGATTATTTTGAACATATCTAGTTAACACGGTAGAACAAAAGGAATTAGACGTCAACTATCTATTAAATGCTAAGAACTTGTAGATGGTTTGGAATAATACTTTTAATAAACGTATTAAGGATCATTGATTTATTAATGATGACAGATTCCTATATCGAATAACAGTGTTAATCGTTTAATAATTTCGAAATATAAAACCAATAATATTGTATTATTTAGTTCTACCTGCCTATCTTATTGCCGCATTATGTATTGGCAACGCTTAAGTCTAATTTATATAAATTAGTCATTAAGAAGCTTAAAAGCACATTAAGGGCATTTAAAATTGTATTTATCATATTCAATAATTGCACTTCAATCATTTGTTATTTTTTCTCCTCGAATTGATCGTCATTTGATGACCGACTCAAACGACTCAAGCAATACGTGCTAATAATCATAAACAAACTTTATAAAAGATTAACATAATCCTTAAAGATATTTATTAAATTAAATTGTAACTTGATCGTCTAATACTATTGCTGGCTTTCTTGAGCGCCATTTGATCTTTGGTGGTAGCTTCAGTTAGTGGATGTATGTTTTACAAGTGTTTTAAAGAAAGTGTTCAGTATGTCTACCGGTAACTATATTATACATTATCTATTCGCATTTTATCGGTATTGTGTAATGTCTATTGGTTGGTTAATTATTCACTCGCACTCTTCTGGAACTCAAGGAAGAGTTATTTACTTAAATGTGATTTTATTTGTTTTCAAGTGTTATGGTTTTTTTTTAATAAACGATACTTGCCTCATCCTATTAATTCAGTTTACAACACTATTTGTTTAACTTGTCTCTTTTTAGTTTACTTTTTAAATAGGTTAGTAATATACTTGAAAATTGTGGTTTTCAAAATAACCATATTTCACTATTGAAGACATTTTTAATAGGAATGGCTTTCTCTATTAGAAATTACTGAAGATTACTGAAAATAATGGTCTATTTTTCGTGCTAAGTTACTAAATTTTTTAGCTGAATAGAAAATAATGGAGCGCGTTGCAGTTGTGAATATAGTGTGTCCTGCAGCTAGGTTTGCAATACTTTACGGGATTATTAGTGAAATAATCGGAAACATTTTGGATTTTGAAAATTGTATTGTAAATGTGAAGTGCGTAGTTAAATGCAATCATATAAAGTATCTCAATTTCGTTGGCAAATACATGGGTAGTATGCAAGTAAATAGAGCTATTGATATAGTGTAAGTAAAAATGGCAGTTTTTCAAATGAAAGTACCAAAGATTCAATTAAAATAGTTTTCACTTTTAAAGGCAAAGCTTTGAGTATTTAAGCTGTACCGAAAACTATTAGCTCAAGGTGGTTTTTCGCTGAAGGAAATAACAATTTATAAAACCGTAAAATAGAATCACTCAGTGATACTTAGAGAAAAAGAAAGTTAGTACTTAATAGTAAATGTTTTAAAAAATTTCAATTGTTTTTGGAAGCGATCGTCTCAAACGTGGTTAAATATTTATCTCAATAACCGATGTCAACAGACATTCACTTTATATGACAATATTATATACATTTACATAATATGATTAAATAAAATAGAAAAAATATGTAGTTCTTAGTATAATTTCATCAGTTAGTTTGTATGCAGTTGCATGTAGTTGTATTTTTTTGAATATTTTAAAATCTTTCATATCCATTCAGCAGCTATAAATCATGTGATAGTTATAACATAAAGCTGGTATCATTTAAAAGTTACAATGCAAAATATAAAATGAAATAATTAGTGTTCAAAAAAATAAAAAATAATCATAATTGGATTTGGAACGTTAAACATTTTAGCGATCCATAAGAATAATTTATCATCCAGTTCCATTTTTAATTTTTTGATTTATATTGAAAAGTTTAAAGCAATTTTAATAATCCCCAAAAAACGAAATAACCGATTTCGTGACTACACTGTCTACATAAGAGTGCGAAGATAATGTGTTATCGAGCAGTATACCAGGTGAATTTTGTCGGTCTTTTGAAGAACACATCATTTTTTCTTAATGATTTTAATGGATTTTCGCTCATTTACGTATCATTCACTGATTCATTTGATACCACAAGTTTAGTTTTTACGTCTATTTTGAAAATACACTTGGATCTGATATTAGCAAGATAGTTAGAGTGTTGTAGACTATTGTCCAGTCTAGTTAACTAACTAAGAAAATAATGGCGTTTTACTTAACAGTTTCGATGTTTTCACATGTAAAACTTATGGTATTCAAAATAAATGTATAGCATAATTTTACAGGTTTTGCGTGTTTTGCAGGTGTTTATTTTTGTTTTAGTATGACAAATTGTTAGTACGTAAAATTTACCGTTATTTAAATTAAATTAAATTTAAATTAAAGTTATTTAATTAAATTCACATTAAAGCACAAATAAATCCAAAGTAAATATATTTTTAATGTTTGGAATGACAAACCTAATATTTTAATTTGGTACCAATTAATGCAATATCGTCGTAGACTGTTACAGCAAATCAACAATTACAGTAGGTTTTAACGGTCTTTAAAATGTCTAATTCCAGACTGTTACATTTTACTTAGAAAACAACATAGTTTCCCCATTCTAAAATTAAATACTCCATTAGCCAATGCCATTAGTAAAAGCCAACGTTTTAATGAGAAATTGCCATTTATGGAAGATTCAGTTTTTCAAAAAATACGAAAAATTGGAGAAAAATTACTTGAAATATGGATAAAAATTATACTAGCTAATCTCTACGTAAGCAAAGACGTTTAAAGCATAAATGTATGTAAACTTTCTTCATTGCCTTTATATAGAAAACTGTAAAAAATCTTACGCGACTGAAACTGATCTATTTTCACTTGCAAATTTTCACCACAGAAAACTGATTAATATATTATCAAGATATCCACATATCAGGGCCCATCCATATATCCATATTAATTAATATTTTTTGCTGAAGACTGCTTAATTTTTTTTGTTTAAACATTACTTATCAATGAAGATATGATTGAGCCTATGCCTATTGTTTTGGGAATGCCTTTATTTGACACTGAAAGTGGACTGTATTTTATTTATAATTATACTGACTTGATATGAGCACTGGGTGTTTTTTATGATACTTTATTTTGTGCCATTCGATAATCGAGTCTCTATCAACAGCAACTTTTTTGTTTACAAACAACAACAGTTACTACTGGTATTTCGAGCTTCCATTATTTTAATTCTATTCTCAATTATTTTAATAGCAAAAACGATTAACGATTCCTTAACAGAGGTACTGCCCGCCTTGAAAGTCCTACTCTTTCAACTAACCAAAAATTGCTCCCTGTTTATGTTAACAAAATCTAAAGGCAAAAATGCAAGACCTAACTCTACTGCTAATAATTAACCTAAGCTTATCTAACTTAAAGTTTCCTACTTATTAATTCCCATTAAAACTAATCAACTGGTAACGCACAAATCTGGTTAACGGAACGTCTTATGGTACTCTGAAGTGTTTTTGTCCACAACTCTGCACACGTTGTCCTTACCGGGATATAATTTAACTATGCGTCCCAGTTTCCAGTCTAAGATTGGTCCCGAATCATGTTTGACTAACACTAAAGTCCCTACCTTAAAATTACCTTGAGAGTTACGCTTCAATTTTACACGATTTTGCTCACTCAAATATTCGTTTTTCCACCAGTTCCAAACATGTTGCACAGACACCTGAATACGTTGCCATTTCTTAAACTAAACGAATTTTCTTCACATTCGGTTAAATTTGGTTCAGGAAGAACCATTAAATTTCCACCTACTATGAAATGTGCCGTGGTCAACGCAGTAAGATCTTCAGGATCATCATACATAGGACATAAAGGCCTAAAATTCAATACAGCCTCTATTTGTGTCAAAATGGTCAGAAACTCTTCAAAAGTGTATGAATTCACACCAATCACTCTTTTTAAATGGTGTTTAATGCTTTTAATGCCGGCTTCCCAGAGCCCACCGAAATTTGCAGCCTTTGCCGGAATAAAATGCCATTGGACCCTTTCAGAAACCAAGTCGGTAGCTATGGTGACTGATGAATTCTTTAAAAATTCATAAATTTTTTCAATTTCTTTATTAGCCCTATATAATTAGTACCATTATCTGAATATGTGTTTAGGGGTTTTCCTCTCCTACTCATAAATCGATTTAAAGCTGCTAAAAAATTCTCAGAAGTCAAATCAAAAACAATTTCTATGTGAACCGTTTTTGTGCACATACATACTACATAAAAATAGCCATATCCAAACCTTAACAATTTTAGCCCCCTTGGTTTTTCTATCCTTAATGAAAAATAGACCTCCATAATCAGTTCCTACATTTGCAAAAACATAGTGTTCATTCCCTCTAACTCCAGGAAAGTCTCAGATTAAACAGTTATTGCCAGTCTCTGGTCTTGCCTTGAGGCACACCACACACTATCTAACAATACTTTTACACTTATTCCGGCTACAAATTATCCAACATTTTTCCCTGATTAAACTTAGAAGTTGCTGAACCCCACAGTGCATCAACCTTTGGTGCTCCTGACGTAAAATTAAATCTGTTTTTTGAAACTGAACTTTGAAATTGTTCTTTGAAGACTTGATGACGTTCTTTGCAAGATAAACTAAAGATTAAAGTTATTTATCGTTTCGTCTCTAATTTGAAAGTATGACGCGCTACTTGCAAATCACTTTATCAACCAATTGGAAAATGCTAACGACGATTTTTATTAAACATAAACATTCGGTGATCAAGTATAGAATTGTATGACAAAATAATCTGATTCTAGGGATTTTGGATTAATACTTGTGCATTGTGTTGGTGAGAGTAGCATGTTTGTGTACAGGAATATTACTTTCAAAGTAGTCCCAAAAATGAAGAACGGTGAAAAAATATATTTACTTCAATAAGTTATCCATATCATTTCAATTCTTATATGAATAACTCTGATTCCGAATTACTCGTATTATCCAAGTTTAAACAAAAAGCGCCAGAACATAATTAAAAAGGAATACATATTTTCAGCAGCTTCAGTTTAATATTCATATAATCCTATATTAGATTGATAAAAAACACAGCATTTTATACAATAAAAATTCTGATCATCAATCAGAATTCCTGGGTTATAGAGATAACTTATTTTTGTGACATGTTCTCATCCTTTAAGATGTTTCATAGTAATATTTTCATATTTAGGGGGTTAATATCTGCATGTTTGCCAAAAAAAAATATTATTAACAGATCCACGGTTACTTTGTTATTAATATTTCTTCACTATTCTGTTTTTTATTTATAGTTCCCTTTTTTTTTGACTTTATTTCCGCTAGCCACTGGATTTAAATACTACAATATTGTTAGAGAAATACGGACTAAAGACGGAATCAAAAAACAATATCTCTAATAAATACGTTGAAATTTAAGAAGCAAAATTGCAAATAACGTAATAAGTATGTTTGAATAGCGGATTTGAAACTGGATTAAAAATATTCGACATTTTGACTCTTTATTCTGGTCTTTCTTTACGGTACGCCAGAAGAAATAAAATATTGCATCTTTCTACTATCGGTTGCACAGTTTACCAAGATTATAAACGTTTTTTTCAATTTGATCTGTCCTTTCAGTCTTGAGAAAGATCCGAATAAACCCATTTTAAGAAAATAAAAGGAGCTTTGAATCCAAGACAAAACCCACTATCCAAACGTATTTATTGAGATTTTTTGACGCTAACAGACTCATAATATGTAAGTATTACTGACAAATTACATATTATTTGCTTTTTATTAGCAAAACTAATTACAGACTACAGGCAAAAAATAGTGYCATAATTGTTTGTTCGATAACGGCTGTAAAATCAAAAATGATCAAGGAGATTCAACATGTTCTAAATCTACTAAAAGTATTTTTTGTTAAAATGTATACAAACGGTATACCAGGTGTCCRGAAATTTTGTTTCATATTCCAAATTAACATTTGAATTTTCTAAATATCTAAAACAATGCAGATACTGGCCTTTTTTGTTATTCTTTTAAACTAACTTTGATTAAATAATATATCTGCTGGTTAACTGTTGTTTTTCATAGTTACTTTACTATTTTAATTAAATACGAAAGTTTCTCATTCATCACTTATTTGCTTCAATTATCTTTGCGAAATGAGTTCATGAGCACATTTACCTTAGTTTCTACTCAGATATGCTAACAACTTAATAAAAAGAGCTCTAACGTTGTTCTCTCAATATTGAATTACACTAGATGCATTATTAGATGGCATTGGCATTTCAATCACGAGTTGTTAGCATCACTATCTGCTAAACAGTAATTATTATAGATGTTAATAAATAAATGTTTACTTACTCATTTTAAAATGTGTAAATAGTAGTAAACTTAAGCTTTTTATTTATCTAGATCTGCATTTGACTGGCATAAAAAGCAGTAGTTCTTTCCCATATATTATTTGCAAAAAGATAGCAATATCTGAAAGCTTTATTTAATGCGTTTTCTTCTTGATGCCTGTTTCTTTTCTTTTCATGAACCCAAAACAGCAAGTGTTCATTTGAAAGTGAATCATGTTGCATTCATACGAACAACAATTTATAAAGCGTTTGAGCAATTCGGGAAGAATCCAAAAGTTCTATTCATTGCCTTTACAGCATGGATGATTTACCTCTCCATTACCAAGTGGTAAAAGAAAAGTGATCATTAGTTGTAAATAACATTTGTAGCCAAGTTTAGAATGGAAACTTTGAAAACATCAGTCCTCTCCCTCTGTAATTTTCAACTTTTTCTGTAAGATCAACCTACAAGTATGCCTGCATTATTTCGGGTCACTCTGTAAATAATGGCATAACCGTTGAGCTCTCCTTGTTCGTGCATTTGTGCAGAACCTAAAAAGTAATCGTTATTAAAATTTTCTCATACATTTCAAAAACGTTAGGTATTACAAAACGAAATCGTTTGAAATAGGTTTTTTGACTGGTTACTCAGTCATAAATTTCCCAGATCCCGGTTTAGAGACTATTAGCATAAAATATTCGAAGGGAGTGCTTGCTTATATGTATATAATTTTTAATAATTTAATAATAAATAGTTTTGCATATTAATTCTAGGGTCCCTCGAAAAGTTTGGCTTTTGTTGTCATCTTACAAATACGTAAAGATCGTAAAATCTTTAGCCAAATTAGTTATAATTTTTTACTAACAATTGTGGAATAGTTTGCCATATATTTAACGTTGCATCCTGATAGAACATTCCTGATTTTATTTTTGTTATAGAATACTAATTAAAACAGCGGAGATTAAATATCAGGTCTAGTGCTCCTGATTACACTCTAGTGATTTCTTATCGGTAACAGTAACAAATCTGGTGTTTAATTGAATTCGCAACAATGTACAATATCAAACAATTCTATTCTATTTACATGTGATCTCGAAACGATTGAAGAAAAAACGAGTAAAATGAAGTTTATTAGTAATTTAATAATTCGCCATAAAGATAATTAAAGAAACGAAAGACATGAATTTTGTACTTACTTGAAGTAAACTTGAGTTGGTTTAATTTTCAGGTGTAACTCACGAATTAACGATTTTTCATTAGTCCACATTCCTCATAGCTTTAGGGTATTTTATCTATAATTTGTTATGTCGATAAAGAAGTATTAAGCAAGCTTTTCTTCTAAGATTTAGACTTACAAAAGTGTAACGTATTTGATTGATTGCTTAAATTGCTCACAAAACTCACTGTTTTAAGTCCTCTTAATATAATAGCAAATACCCTATACTATAGTATTGTCTGGTATCACCTTAAAAGTTAGTCGCATTCTCAGAAATTAAAATGTAATTTGGTTAGTATACATTTTAGTTAGCTTAATTTTTTCAGTCTGCTTATCGGTTTTTCATAACTGGGCCATAAAAATTTAAATATGAGTTTTACGATTGCGAGTTTTTTGGCTGGAAAGGTTTTTGAATTTACTGCAGAAGCTAACATTTTTGAAGGTTTTTAAGGCAGCCCTTTAGTAATGTTATGGACTTAACTATTAAAAATATGTGGCACATGATTTCTGTTGATTTTATCAGTTGTTTTATCAGAAATATTTTTCCCAGTTAGATAATTAGGAACAAGAGAGATTAAGTCTCTTGATTTTACGATTGATTTGGATATTGTACGCGTAATACAAACACAAATTTTAAATGCCTTTTCATTGCAAAAGGTGCAAATAAAATCGTAATAACACATACTTTTTAATTGCTTTCATTCCTAATATAATGTGGTTTTTAAACAGAAGCAGAAAATGTTTGCTTAATTCTGTTGATGCTATTAATAAATGAAATTATATGCAATAAACAAATGATTAATTTATATGAAGCTTTATTAGTTGAGTCTTGCAGTTTGCATAAATTTAGACAGCAATGTTAATAATTGGAAATTTAGATTAGCCCATCATGACAATGACTAATGGGTTTTTCGGATTTTTACTCCGTCGCTCGRTAGAATTTGTTCCTAACGTTTYGCAAGCACGAGTGGCTTACATMTTCAGAATTCTTATCWYSCTCTTTTGATGATGACTATATCAGTTCATCAGGCTGACTTTATATGGACTTTTTTCTTAAGAAATACTCAAAGATTTACTATCGCCAATGAACCAACGAACTGATGCTGCACAGCATACTAAATTTTAAAAAATAATAAAAAAGCAATTAAATRTTGGTTGCACCCATGAAGAGTTACACTTTTGGAGTGTCTGAAAATACACGATAATTAGTAAGAAGTTTTCCATTTTAGCTTCRTAAAAATATTATTTACAGAAAAAGTAGACCTTCGTCTCATTGCTGGACTAAAAGCACTTTTTGGCACAGTTTCCTTGGCTCACTTCTACCAAACCCATCACATGACTGAAGAGGCAATACGTCACCATGTCTAGAACTTATTGCTAATTTCTTATCAGCTGCTAATTCTCTAATTTATAGTATCTTTATTGCAAAATCCCTTTAAGACAACTTTATTACGACCGAATTATTCACCATAAAAACGGCGAATATTAACTGGGCATTTGCAGATTAAGGAAATATTTATTGCCTTATATGATAAAGAAAAAAGCAAAGTAGGCCCGTGGCTGCTTTTTCCACTCAACTTTTGTTTAATTGTCGGTAGACCTTTGAGGAACCTGGACCTCGGGTAGTACCTAAAATTTTTCAATATCTAGTGCCTTAATCACAGTCAATCAACTATGGATGTCAAAGATCCTCAGCAATATAACACATTACGTAAGTGATAAGCAATTATCTTTGTAGGAGTGGTTGATTTTTTATCTAGCGATCAACAATTGAAAGCAAATGAGTGATTAATTCGAAACAGTGTAGGTATTATGTTAATGTTTTCCGTTTCTTATTTATGGGAAAATAACGTTTTCTAAGTTGAGGATACATAGATGCAATGTGCACGGTTAACTTAACTTTTAATGTGAATACCATTTTGGTCTATTAGATCTGATGGTATGAAGTTTTAGTGGATGAGAATTCTTTGTTGCATTATTATACATCGTTCAAGTGCCTTTTTCCTGCAAGTACTTGAAGCTTTGAAGCTTTGAAGGATTTGTTTGATAGTAAATTTCAAGTGGTTCAGTTCCCATCGTCTATGTTAAAGCTTCATTGAATCATATGAATTCCTGCTGAATAACTTTAATGGATCTTTGACGCATCCAGAACTCCAGAAAACTTACAGCCATTTATGGTATTTTGTTTCGAATGTCCTTTCATATGAAAAGAATCTGGAGTGTTCAATTCTACTGCATATACTTGTGAAGGCGTTGCAAGAATTTGTAATGTAAATTAAGTTTGCAATGTTGGAAAAAGCCCAATTAATTTTTCAAACTCTTGGTGATGTTTCTACGCAATCAGCTAATGTTCTGTCATGAATTGCTGAGTTATTCTTTAAATTTTGTTATCTAATTTATTTAATCCCAGATTTTTAAATCGGTGACTGTTTACAGTCTTTTTAAAAAGCAAATACACAACCAAAGGTATTTTGAGATAAACATTCATGTGCAAAAATTGATCTTCAGCGTTTCATTACAGGCCTATAGCATGTTCCAATTTCAATTATTTATTTATTTATTTGATATTAATGCGCCCAGTTTAGGTCTTTGCAGATAGTCTAACTATCTTGCGTATTCGTTTTATGCTCTGCTTTGATTTATGATCATCGAAAGTTCATTGGGGTTGTGCGTATTGAAAATTGCATTTTTCTTGGGATTTATCATACTTACTTTGTAAAAACTACTTTAATCAAAAATTGTGGAAAAGAATGATCGTAAGATAATGCTGGTTAAGTTATTAATGCTGGTTAAGTTGCTATAATCAATATTTGTTGGCCTCTGAAAATTAAAATAAAGAGAAAATTATGCGTGGCTTAAACGGACCAATGGGGTTGGAGACAAACTTACTGCCTTTGGCTTAACTCCAAAAATTATTGGTCCGTTTAAGCCACGAAAACCTATCTCTTTATTACATTTTATTAGCATGCTGAACTGAATAAACGTTTTTTTTTATCGAAACAGTCACATGTAGAAATGTGACGATGTTTTACTCGGAAATGTAAATTAAACTGATAATTTTGGGTATTAAAGTTTACACTACCGTTGTAATCGCGGAAATTTAGCAAGATTAATGTACTCATCAAATTGTGTCCACTCCCTAACAAAATTATCACGCAAAGGCTCTGGAAAAATACTTTTCTTGGAAAAGCTCGTATTGCCAAATCTCCTGTAGGATAAATTTCTGTGATCCAGGATGATTCAGTTTTCGATGCCAAATCAAACTCACACAATAGATATTTGCATTATATTCTAAATTTTTGTCCAAAATGGTGTAAATGTGCTAGATATGACTGAATATTTTGTTTCATTATTTCTACTTACAAACCTAAACGTGACAACTTTAATGCGMAACCCCGTTTTCTATAATTTGCATCTATTGTACCAGTCTGRCAAAGAACAGTTCAAGATTATGGGTTCTCTTGGCAAGAAATTTTAAGAAAGGGATCTAAGAAAAGATAGAAGAACGTTTCATGAGGAAATCAATGCTGATCGTGAATTATAGATTTTTCACTTTAAAGACGTCCGTATAAGATTCGAAAATATGCAAATTTTGAATGACTAATCGACTTGTTCCAACGTTTTTCCAAAAAGTTTTAAAGTAATTTGATTATTTCGACTGATTGATTACGCTCATTGTGTATCTGCACTTAAGGTGAAAAGCTAAAATTAAATCTAATCTGATGCACAACGTTTGTTAGAAAAGTTACAAACAGAAAAATATTGCATATAATTAATTTAAGTCTGGATTAAAGGGTTATCAAAATGCTTTTAATCAATTTTGTCAATACTGCGTCATTTATTGGTCTGATTAATATCTAGGTTGATTTAGACGCATGTTACAATTATCATGAGATTAACTAACGCAATTCTAAAGTAAAAATACATTTTTTTATCATTATCATTAAAACTTTCTGCAGATTTGGAAGTGGAATTGTTCAGATAAAATGAGTTATGGATGTAAAATTGTATTGTTTGGAACGTTGTACAGTCGTAGTCAATCGAACGAATGGCATTAATTAAAACTAATCTTATGGAAAACGAAGAGTAAATTACGTTATCTAAAAGRAAAGTGTGACRAAAATAAAAAAATTGAAAAAAGCATGTGCAATTATTACATATGTATAGAACTGGCAAACAAACTAGCCGGGAAAGTATTTTATACGGAAGTTTTCWAAATCCCCCACTTTAGAAAAAAAAGTGTTTAARAAACGAAATATTGCTTAAAAYTTATGCTTCTTAAAAAAATTAGAAAGTAAACAACAGTACTTTCCTGCATCTATAAACGGTGATGAAAAATACAATCTGACTGATGAAATCAATTCAGTTATTTTAATATCAGTTAAACATAATGTAAAAAAATCACAATAAATAGTTTTCCGGCGAATAGAACTTCGGTTTAAACGTAATATTTTTAAAACTTTCAAACTTAACAACTGGTAACACAAATTATAGTCTACGTGCCATTAGTAAGTTCATCCAAAAAACGTTTATCTTGTGCAGTTTTGCTTTTGTCTCTCTTGTTTTAATATACCAAACCATTAAGTTTTTACATTTTTGACGGTGTTTAAGCATTTTTAAGGGTTAACACAGAAATATCTCCAAACCTTTTCCGACAAGCTCTCCATATTCTTTTGGTCTTGTATAGTAAACAGTATTTGTTCTCCTACTATGCAAAAATTCGAATCTTTATAAATTCCGTGTCTTAGTCGTTTACTGCACTTCTTTTCTTCTTTAACTACGTTCCCATTTATTTCCCTCCATTTTGACATACAATGGACAAAACAATATAATAAGAATAACCCAAACTAACCCGAACTAAAGCTTAAATAAAGCTGAAGTTTAAATAAGCCTTTTTTCTCAAGTTATTGCAGATAGAACTTACAACTCTTTTAAATGCTTAAAATGATCATTTTCTCACACCTTCTATTGATTTGATAATATAATTATTGATAACATAATTTTTGCTTTTGCTTTTGAAAAAAAGTTTTGAAAACATGAATCCGCCTCAACCATATAGAACTTATCTGAAAGCTTCCGCACTTTGAACGTTACTTATTTACAGTCCTCATTTACGTAATTTCATGTTCTTGAAATTAATCATTCATTGACTTAATTTTCTTGTAAATGTTTGTATATCACAATTTAATAATGTTTGAGTGAATTTGAGTTTGAGTAGAAAAAGTTACATGAGTCTTCTAGTATTTTCAAACAAAATTTTCGATTGATTCATTTCAACAACAATTCTATCAATTCATACGCGCAAAATGCTTATGAAACTTGGCTAACATTTTGCTCAATCTACCTTTCTTAGTCCTGGACTTATCCTAAAACAATATAGTCATAAATAAAACGATAAATGTGCCCCTACACTATTGACTTTTATCACACTCGACGTAAAAAGGAGCAATTAAATTTAGAAAACAACCATAAAATATTTAAATAATGTATTTTTAGGCTGGTGTGCATTAATAACGTAAGTAATATAATCTAGAAAACACTTTTCAGTAGTAGATGTATACGTAATTTATTGCAGCTCAATTTTAATACATTAAGCCGGTGTAAAAAATTCATCCGGACACGCGTCGGAGGCTTAAAAGATTACGTTTCGGTTTAGGTTTATCAGATTAATAATAGTAAGCCAAAAAACTTCCAAACATGTACTTTTAGCTCATTAAATAGTATTAAGTTGTAAATCAATCCAACGGAACTTTTTGCGTAAAATGCTAAATAAATATTTAACAAGTTTATCTTCAAAAACTGGCTGGAAATTGCGATGTTTGTTCGCATTTAATTAGATTATTTAACTCGAAGTTCAACTATTAGTGCATTGAAAAAAATGTCAAAATAATAATTTGATAGCAATGTGCCGGAAATTGTTAATCTTATTATTTTGAACGTTGAACCTTTTTTATAATATTTGTTAGCTTTGAATTAGATAATTTGTCCATTTATTTTGCGTTCTGCTAGTGATAATACGGGGCAGCATGACGGCTAGATGATCAGCAGAAAATTAAAAAGAAATAAACTAAAATGCTAGAAAACCAAAACATGAAAAATTCAAATGTAAACCAAGTAGTATGTTCAAATTTTCATAAAAAAATATACATAATTTGTAATTTGTATGAGAATTGAACAAAAAGTTGTTTAAAACCACGATTCACCTTTGCTAGAATTTATTCAAGAAATATATAATGTTGCATTCCTATTTTAACCTCTGGCAAATTCGCTTTATTCAGTGAGTACCGTTCTATAAATAATAACTTTATCATGAAAAATTTTAGGAGGAATAATATTTGTAATACAAATTTTTGGTGTTTTATTTCAATTCACAATGAATGAATTAAGAATAAGAAATGAATACTACTCTAAAGCATTGTGATAATGGTGTTCAGTTAGTTTTTGTAATTAGATACATCGAAAACAAATAATCACCTTGCCCGGATTCTTAACATATTCTTTATAGCTTGAAATAATTTCTGCATTGTGCATAATAATGTGTTAAGCATGTGATGGAGAATTAAAGTTCATTATTACGCACACAATAATGACATTGAAAATTTTCAAGCCTTAAGATCCTTAAATCTTCATATACGTTGGACCGCAGTTTCGTTATAAATCGGCACTGAATTACTGAGGTGTAAAGCCTGGTGAAGGTTTCCTAATTCATTTGGGATTTCTGCAGTTTTTGAAAGATTTACTTCAAATTTGGAATTGGACTTATTTGGCCTGTCGTAATGTCGTAAAAATCGTAATCAAAAAACGAAGCGAAACAAATTTCTATAGTTGTCTAATTATAATGAAAATAACTTTATTATGTGTTACTTTATTCAGCGCACCATTGTATGATATGTTTAAATCGACACATTTTTATCAGCTTTTTATAATTATGGGTTGTAGAACTGTTTAACACAAGTTCACATACAATTTTTTTCTAAGTCGCTCATAATTTCCGATTCCTCGAGATGGATAACTTTGGCATAATAAAAATGAAAATATTTTATTCTTTAATTCGGACGTTGATGTCTCGAAGGGCGTAATAGTTTTGAAATAAGCATATCAGTATGAAAATGAAAAAAAATGTATTGACTACTGAAACATTTTCATTAAAGTGATTTGTTCAACTCTAAATTACAACTTCAAGCAATTAATACTTCAGGTCAATGAATGATATAAATGGTCATAGAAATTGACCTTTAATACAAATATAGTCACAAACAGAAAAGAAAGCAAAACATGACATAAATGTTTAACTCATAGCTAAACGTATTTATGATGTTATTAATTTTCAACAACTTGAATCGGTTTTAAATGAAACACTTATTATAACTAAGTATAAGTTACGAAAACAGTAATTATTTAAGTGAGGTGGACATTTTACTTAAAATCGGTTCCGTATAACTCAACTGTTAGGAAAATCTGACATTTACATAAATAATATTACTATTAAAACATTGTAGATTAAAATGCAAAAATACGGGTATATATTTAAATTAGTTTCTTGAAATAAATTCGCAAAAAAAGATAAAATCGCAAAATTTTCCAAAAAGTATAAGATAAATATTGGAAAATTTAGATACTCGAATAACGGAAAGCTCACCGATTTAAAGTCTTAAAAGTGAAAATTATTTTTAGGTCTTCTAACCATTTTCAATTTTTTAATTACAATTTAGTTTCTACTTAATTCTTTGAAGTAAAAAAATGCGTTTAAATGGTAAAGTCTAAAAACGAGTAGGAAAGATTTAGTTAGTTGTAAACTATACCTACAATGAAAGCGGGATAATATCAGCCAATCATAGCTGGCATAAAATAGAATTTGAATTTTTTAACAAAAAATGCGTTAGTTTCAATAATCATTAATTCAGCGTTGAAAGCAATAAAACTACTAAGCGAGATCTGCAAAAAATTTCAATGATACGTGTAAATAGCTCTTATGCAAAATTTTCGAACGGCAGAAAACTTGGAATGAAATTGGGGTTGAAAAAAAAACGTGCTTTAAAATATTAAGTTTTGATCAAATCAATAAACTAAGAAAAAGTGTATTGTTTTCAATATTACTTTGAAATTATAAATGATTGAATATCAAATAATTCAAAATGAATGGTGATTAATTAAATAGAGCCAGTATTTAAAGCAATTAAGAGTTTAATCCTGAAAATGGAATTGAATTGAATCCAGAATTAAATTAAAATATTAATCTAATAATGGAAGCGCTGAATAGGACTTAGAATTGCGATAAATTCATAAATCAGCACTTGCTGTTATTTTAATTTCCTCCATTCAATAACGAATAACATTTATTTGCCTTTATTCTCCTGTGTTGAATATGCAACTGTTTACGGAATGTTATTGTATGGTATGCTAATTAAACATTCCAAATTGTAGATAAGTTCTATATTGTTGAGGCGGCTTCATTTGTTCACAAACTGTTTGTTGGGTACTTCGCCTCAAAAATGTTTGTTTTTAAAAAAGGCAGAATTTCCTCACGTCTTTTATTACAGATTGATAATAATAGATAGGCCTCTTATTTCGCAGCAAGAACGAATTATTTATCAAAAAGTAATATTAATTTACTTTAAAATAATAATAACTAAAAAGTGAGGAAATTCTGTCTTTTTTATAGACAAACACTTTTGAAGCGAATTACCCAACAAACAGTTTGTTAAAAAAATATCAAATTGTGCATCCATGATTATTATTACTATTGATGTTTTCTGAACTTCAAATTGATATTCTGCTATTTTCTCTAGTCCAAGGGAACGAGGGAAAAAAAGACACACTGCCATGGCTCAAACAGAAAGCATCGAGCAAACTTACCAAGAAAACGCTCTACAAAAGGATACCAGTCTTAGGTTGGGCACCGAAATATGACAAAGCGGCTGCTGTGGGCGATATTCTAGCTGGTGTTACTGTAGGATTGATGGTGATACCCCAAGCATTAGCATACAGGTAAAATCTTTATTTACTAACAACTAAGTCTCATATGATCCGTATACAAGTTTATACATTATTACTTACATATTACAACTTTACCTGATTACATGTTAGTAAAAACCATGTATAATTTACTTACAGTGGCATAGCAGGGTTACCGCCCCAATATGGTCTTTATGGGTCTTTTATTGGAGCCATAGTCTACATTTTCTTCGGAAGTTGCAAGGATGTTCCTATGGGGCCAACTGCCATTTCAGCCCTTTTAACTTTCCAATCAATTAAAGGGATGGGTCCTGAGCATGCTGTTTTGCTATGCTTCTTCACTGGATTGGTTCAATTTGTAATGGGAATTTTTGGATTAGGTGAGTTTTTTTTAGCAATCTATGGCTTGGTGATTAGTATGGATGGAACTGGTAGCAGAAATCTCCGATAACGTAAAAATAAATAATTTTATTACTAAATCGATGGATTTTTAAGGTGCAACAAACAAATAAACCACCAAAAAAAACACGGAAAAGGAGTTACAATATTTTCTAGTCGAGCTGAAGCTTACAGTATTCAAAGACCAATACCAGCACTTTTTCATTTTAAATTCATCCTGATACTGAAATATTTATTCAAACGTTCATGAGTGTTATTGTATTTTAGCACATGTTTATTTGTCTTCAATTCAAATTATACACAGATATAAACTTGTTGGTCCTGTTTAAAAAAATTGCTATGATTAAACTAAACTAAACAGAACCAAAAAAGTGATTAAGTGCAATTTAAAAAAACTGATTTTTTACATTTTTTATGCGTGGTTTCGGCAATACTCTTTATCACCGGAAACAACATTTGAAGTTTCTAAAAAAACTGTAAGTTGGAAAACTTCTACTGCACGGTCTACGTATATCATCCTGTATAAAAAAGTTAAAATCATATGTGAATAAAATAGAATATGTATAGGACTTTTCGACCAAAAATGAAACTCTTACAAAATGTGCAAACATTATTTTAACATGCCATTTTTGAAATTAGGAATTTTTTTGAGAAACCAAAACAAACAAAACCTTTCGGCTCAATACATAAATATGTCAAATTTGAGGCATTATCTCAGATGGCCTTTGTGTCTGATGGTATAAAAAGCTATAGGCTGAACTTTCACTCGAAGGTTGTTTAATTTTAAAACGTTTTCGGATATTCTCTATACATTTACATTGAAATTAAATGCATATTAAGTAGGCAGAAAGTAATAGGAAGGAAATTAAATACATTTAAAAAAATAAATTAGTTACTTCAGTTGTATCATACATTATGCATACTTGATAACTGGTGAAGTGGTTTTACAAAGTGTTCCTACAGTTTCGAATTTTTCCACCTTATATTAAACAATGTTTACATTTTCTTCACCAAGCCTTATTAAAACGCCTACCTTATTTTCCATGTAGAATTTAGAAAAAATTAATCATACGTGATGATGATAAAAAAAACTACTAAAAAACACATGCTGGATATGTAACTTTTTCTGGCGATCTGAAATCGGATTACAAATATCTGTTCGATTTTTCGAAGATGAATCAACTAATAAAATGTGAGTTTGGAATTTAATTTCTTTTACGTAGATTTTATGTGGGATTATAATCTAGAATTTCTCATTTCGTTGCTCAAATATACTTAAAACGTGCTGTTTATGTGAACAATTAAAGTTTAATTCTCCTGTTCTTGATTTACTCTTGGGTCTAATCTAAAGTGTAACTAATGTTAACACACCGAAACCATATCGAATCGTTATTTGACTAAGAGTTAATTAAATATTCTAATTAGATGGTGATATCCTCTGCTATTGAAACGAACAGATATGTAACACTTTTACTAAAGGTTACCCCTTTAATTATTAGCCCAAAACCTACTTAAGCGACATTCAAAAACAATTGTCTTAAATCATTTGGCCTTGTAATAGCTAAAAATCACATCTGGTGGATTAAAAAAACCACTGATTGAAATATTCTGGCTTTTACATGTCTACGTTAAGCAATTTTATTATCTAATCGACAAAATGCATTGGGAGTGTTCTAATTTGTTTGATTTGCTGTTAAATACTCTTTAAAAGTCGCAATATATGTATAAAGTGCTGTTACTTCTTAAGAAATTATGTGTTAACTTGGAATTTAGAACTCGAAAAGAAAAGCGTCGAAGCAAATTGCGAACTTGGACAGGCTTAATGGTTACAGTGCGACCCAGAATATTTCTCAAAACTTAGCGCTGAGTTTTTAACTGCGTTTTAACGTAAATATAAAAAATGTGACTTTTAAAATATAATTTGGCTTTTGTTTATTTTTGATAAAAGTCTTGCGATCAATGAAATAAAACGTGTTTTTTACATCTGCTCAAACCAATTTTTTTTAAATTGTTTTAGCTATTCATTATCAACGATGTAAAACAATTGTGACCAAAATTCCAGTTAGTACAATAAGCTTTTCTGAAATTTATTACGAACTTTTCTCCCTTAACTCTCATATTAGCCCAGACTTGCAAAATTCTAGCGTTTCCAATGTTTCTAGCCAAAAAAAAATCGAAGGACTCAAATCAGGTGAGCGGACAGACCACTCCAATGAACTGAGTTCTGGAAATTCGTTGTTAAATCAACCAAATTTGTGATTAAAATGAAATATTTTGAATTCTGAATGAAAATTTTCCGGATTGCCAATTCCAAAAATATTTGGATTAATATTCGAGCAATATCGCAAATTTTGCCTGTTGATATTTACGTCTAAAATATATATTCCCATTACTTAAATAGATGTTTCGTCAGTATGATGAATTTGAATCTGTTTTCAAACATGTTTTTTATCGTGATTGCAAAAACTACATTCATTGTAAACTGTAGCCGTATGTTATTTGTCTTCCGAAACAAATTTTCTTCTCGGTGGTTTCTACCTTAGTTGAAACATTTCCACCAGTTCTCTTCAGTATTTCCGGCATATGAAATTATCGCAAAATCTATCATTAAATATTCTTTCAAGTTCATGAAAATTATATCCGGCCCTGTATATTAGGGTCGGATTTATTTTTTCTCAATACGGTCCGACGCAAAACAATCCAAAACGCATTTTAAATAGAAGAACGCACGATAGAACCAACACTTTTAAAATAACACTAATTTATTATACTATATATAAAAATAATATATAATAATAACTATATATAAAAATAATACAACTGAGTTTCATAAAAATAACTAATTGAACAATTAAGAGTTACMCGATTTTACGTCGCTCCAAGCTTTCCAGAGAATTATAACAATTAGAATTCGTATTAAATATTGATTCTACATGAACTGCTGCACGAATTTGTTAAAACTATCTACTTCTTCGTCGTAAGATTTGTTATTTTCGAGTTTACTTTTGAAGAGATCTCACCTTGTTTCAGGGTGTGCCATTTTGCTTACTTCACTTGAATTAATTAAATCAGAATGGAAAATGTCCCTTTCAAATACTCAAATACGCAATTTTATTAAGACTAACAACATTTTGTATTGTTCAAAGCTTGGCAGGGACTGAGAACAATTATTAATTCGTATTTAATCCAGATTATACATAAAGCGCCATATAAAGAAAATGTGCATAATCCTACAGACTGCACCAATTATAATTCTTCAATATATGTTTATTTAAAGCAGCATCATTTGGCTTCTCGGTAGGTTCCATTATCACATTATCATTATAACCACAATTATCACATTTTTACCTAGAACAAATTCACCAAATTGTCGAGTCGAGATTGAATTGATTACCGCAATTTTCTTTTGAAGAAGTCGCAATTAGTTATTGCTTCTAGTTCATTAAGTATAAGTAATAATTTCATTCATTTCATAAGTTATGTTTCTTTTGTAAACTTCAATTAACATTTCGTTTATTAAGTGTTCATCACCAAAAATCTGAATAAGCTAAGACTATTTTCTTCTTTCTTCAGGTTTTCTGATAGATTTCATCTCAGGTCCAGTATCATCTGGATTCACTTCGGCTGTGGCGTTAATTATTTTAACGTCACAAGTAAAAGATATTTTGGGAGTACATGCACCAGGATCAGTATTCACCGAAATATGGAAAAACATTTTCCAAGATATTCACAATACAAACGCTTGGGACACTTGTTTGGGTATTGCTTGTATTATCGTGCTGTTGGTGATGCGGGTAAGAATTTATTTTATTTGAACAAGACAAAATAGAACAAGATTTAGCCAAGGTAGATAAAACCAAAATAGTTTAAGCGAATGTAATTTTCCAACGTTTATTTACTTTTAATGGTAATTGTTTCGGTTTTATTTACCATTTCAAGTGTGATTAACAATTATTTAATAATAATCAGGTTGCAAACTATTAGGGTTGGAACCTATCAAATTAAAAATAAAAAGATTTTCAAACAATTTGTTACTGTGCAATGACTTCGCCGCTTAACAGTATCTGCAAATAGCTAAAAAAATATTTTGACTCTTTCTCAGGTTGTTGGACAAATGAAAATTGGACCATCCAAAGGAGAACTCTCCGCTTTTCAGAAGTGTTTCAACAAATCCTTATGGCTTTTAGCAACTGCTAGAAATGCAATAATTGTGATTGTATGTGGATTCATCGGTTACGCGTTATATGATGGTAAGTGAATATTTTTTTATTTATCACATTGAATCACAAATGGCCTTATTTTTTGAGAAGTTTTTGTTTTCTTAGAATAGTAAATATACTGAAAACGGAATTATTTTAAGGATAGAAAAATTTTGCTTAAAACTGGTATCTACAATAAGTTCAAATGTGCATTTTTTTCAAAATTACAATTTTTAAGCATCTGGTTTTAAGAAAGTAATTTTTGTTTCAAGTCTATGCTAAATATACGAAACTAATTCAAGTATAACCATTTTCCTTCGGATACGCTTTTTTTTGTTTCTTATTAAATTTAATTTTTTATTCAACTATTTTAATTTTTTTAAAACTGTCTAGGTGTTCAAAGAGACTTCGTTTGATATTGCTATATCAGAGTGAGATTTATAAGTTAGTGTTTATACTTTGCAATTGCAACCCAAGAAATTCTCCTAAAATTGCGACACATTTTTAGTCTCAGGAGAACGAAAGCTGTACAAAAACTTAAAAATTAATAAAATACATACATTATGAAATGTGTCATTTTCATATATCGTAATCTTAATAGATGTAAAATCTATTTGTTGGTAGATAATAGATGTTGTACAATGAATGAATGTTTTTTTGCAGGAACGTCCCCACTCACACTTATAGGAGCAGTACCTGCAGGCCTACCTAGTCTTCAACCGCCTCCATTTGGTGGATATAACAGAATAGAAAATAATACAGAAGTACATGTTCCGTTCGTCCAAATGATGGCAAATTTGAGCACAGGAATAATCGTTACACCGCTAATTGGTCTCTTGGAAACTATTGCCATTTGCAAAGCATTCTGTAAGTACGCAAGCAAAATATAATGAGCAGATRAGAATGGGAAAATCTGTTGTGASTTTATTGGAAACAACGTTTCAATTACCCAAGTCTGAACTAAAAATTGCTAGAAAATGGTTCTAATGGTTTCCTAATAAGCGCAAAACGCTCTGCTMAATTTATCAACAAACCATAAACAAACCCTTAGCCAATATAATTTAWTATATTTAACATATAATATAACAACATAACAATAAAGCAATGGAAAACGTTTCAAGTACAGATTCCAAAGCCTCCCAAAATTTATCAGATTTAATGCGAAAAGTGAAACTTTCAGGGCATTTGAAATTAAGTTTCTCCTTTATAATGTAGTGACAACGAACTCTTGGTTTGATCTATTTTTTGAAAAATTGCTTTTTGAAAAACCACCTGCGCATCTTCGGATTGTCATAAAAGCAGGCAAAAACTTCCACCTATTTAACTTGAATTGTTGGCCTTTCGACGGTTTAATTCATACAGAGTTTTCCATACTGTGTCCCGCGGAATTAATTTAAAAATAATTAAGCGTTCCATTAAAATGTCTGGGTTTCTTTATCTGCAAAGTGTTTCATTATAGAAAAAGTTTGGGAAACCCTGATTTAGAGTCTATTTTTACGATAATAGATAAGAATTAACAGGAAAAAAATTTATTATGGAAATTTCTGCTGATATTGCTAAGAAAAGTAGCTTAAGAGCAATTACCAGCAGATTCTGTTGCTTTAGAAACTCTCTAGAAAGGGAGGTTTACTCTAAAGCTTTCACTAAAGCAAATGTCCAAAACACACGTAACGCCTAAAAAAAATGTGGCGATCTTTTTTTAAGTGTTAAAGTAAAGTTCAGGAAAAATCAACTTAGCGTAAATAAACCAACGCTTGGGGGTTATTATTTAGGGGCAAATTTCCGGGTTTACAAAGTGTTCCACTAACGTTTGGGAAACTCTGAACTGGAAACATCAGCTCTCCATATGGGCGTTTTTGAAAAATGAAACTGGAACAAAAAAGTTCAGACTGGGCAAGTTTCCAGAGCTGACCATTTTTTTTTAACATTTCCTGTTAAGCAGACCCAAACCATTGAAATATTTATGTTTTATATTAATATTTTTTACGTTCCAGCTGACGGTAAGCCTGTAGACGCAACTCAAGAACTAATAGCAATCGGGTTGGCAAACATCGCCAACTCTTTCGTTCATGCCTTCCCAGGAGCTGGCGCTCTTGCAAGAGCCGCCGTTAATAACAGCAGCGGAGTTAAAACTCCTCTGGGTGGTTTGTACACTGGCATTTTGGTCATTTTGGCCCTGCTGTTCTTCACGCCCTTCTTCTACTACATTCCCAAAGCTGCCTTAGCAGCGATTATCATTGCTGCTGTTATATTTATGGTCGAAGTTCGAGTGGTTAAGCCAATGTGGCGATCAAAAAGTAAGTTTTACAATATTGCGAAAAAATCAGTATTTTAATGTTCGCCTTTCGTGCCTTGCAGAAAGCGATCTATTCCTGGGAGTTTGCACCTTTGTCGCTTGTCTAGTGCTACCTCTGGAAGTGGGAATTTTGGTGGGAATTGGACTAAATGTATTGTTTATTTTGTATCACGCAGCCAGGCCCAAAATCAGCATCGAACGATTAACGGTAAGTGTTTAAGGGAATCATAAGTAATTAATTTCCGTATTTCCTCTTAATTACATATAGTGTTAATAGTTTGAGTAACTAGGAACTGAACCTGAACATAACTTTCTGATTTGTTTTGGTATTTCTCATGATCAAATGGGACAATAAAGCTTCTTTACTCATGAATATATTAAATCAAATAAGCAGTCCGCTCTTTGCTTTTAATGCATAAGGACGTGGGTATTTTTAAAAAGTTGCATTGACCAAGGAAAACACCGGTTTTTGTAAATAATATCTTTGAATATCTCACTGTTTTGCGTTCAAACTGTTGATAATAATTAATTCATTACTTACGGAAATTATTCAAAATATACAAAACGTTGTAAAATCTTAAGAATCATCAGTTCACAACTACTTTTTTAATCATATTCATTATGTGTTTGAATGTTTTGTAATCAAATTGTTTTTATTAACAGTTGATTTTAAAAACATTTTATGAGCGCAGCTAGACACTGGTATATACGAATATCTGTGTCTGAACGAAATAATTTAAATAAATTTTTGGAGGCATAATCATTTGAGAATTACTAACAGTTTTGTGCAAATTTCTCTGCAAATGAAAAAAACACCTCCAATGATATACAGGGCGACTCACAGCCTTATGGACACAAAGCAGGGGCGAGTCGAGTTTTCATTTAAGTTTTTTTTCAGACCCATAGTTAACAGGATGCAGGGAATTAAGTTTCACAAAAACTTTGATATTTTCTCTTTAACTCCTGCAGTTTATGCGATATTTAGCTCAAATTTTTAACGTGGGTTAATTTTTAGACCTTTTACCCGTAGGTAAGGCGACTGGTTGTGAAAATCTGCAGGATGTTTTTTTTCTAGAGGCCCCCTTACTCCCCGAAACTTTTTTGTGGTGCGCCACTGACTTCGGCCGAGCAAATTTTTGAATTTGTGGTTCAATTTAAAAAATTTCTGGTCTATGGCAGTTTTTTCGTATCTGTCTTCGTTTTCGAGTTATTTGCACAAATATAAGTCCATGTAGTGTTCATCCTGGGTGATTCTCCATGATATTTCTTATATTTTTTGCGTTCTTTTGTTCACATCTTTCTGTGAAAGATGTTAATTTCATAATAAATTTAAATATTCGTTACATTTTTGTGTATTTTTTTTGGATTTATAATAATATAATAAGTTGAAGTTAATATATGGATATTTGGAGTTATTGGAACTCGTCAACCATCCCTATTTGAACAATTATATGCAATACAACTTGCACTTGAACCTTTCAAAGGAAAATGTGAACAAAAGGACACAAAAAAAATTTTAAAAAATTCATAGAAAATTACCCAGAAACCGAACATTGCCTTATGTGTGTACAAATTATTGGAAAACGAAGGCAGATACGAAAAAACTGCAAGAGATCAGAAAATTCTTAAATTGAACAGCAAAAGCAAAAATGTGTTCCGTCCAAAAAAAGTCAGTGGCGCACCATAAAAAAGTTTCGGGGAGTAAAAGGGGGCCTCTAGAAAAAAGAACATCCTGCAGATTTTCACAACCAGTCGCCTTACCTACGGGTAAATGGTTTAAACATTAGCCTACGTTAAAAATGTCTGCAAAATATCTCATAAACTGTAGGAGATAGAGAAAATACCAACATTTTTTTTTACTTTAACACCCTGGTTGTAGCTCGTTAACCCTGAGACCTGAGAGAAAAAACTTAAATAGAAACTCGAAACGGCTCTGAGTCTATGTCTATAAGATTGTGAATGTGTGAATCAGCCTGTATAAAACTACTTCTTTCTGAGTCATTTGGATCTTAACAAATTACATTGCGTAAACAGGTGCAAAATATTTGTCCTGCTTTAGCAGTTTTTTATACCATTTATCCAAATTGGTCTACATTCACCAAAGTTTCGGTTTGGACTTGAAAGCCCATTCAAAACTTGCTTGCGAATACCCTGTTTAGTTCAGACTAATTTTCTGCTTTGGCCCACTTAAAATCTACGACGTGTCACTAAAAGGTGGATTTAGATATGTGCTTCCTCCCGGTAGAATACCTTATTTATTTGTGTAGCATGGGAACTGAAGTTGTGTTTTAATTATTTTCCAGACAAGTCGCAATACAGAATACCTAATGATAACTCCAGACAGATGCCTGATATTCCCATCAACAGACTACGTAAGAAATTTGGTCACTAAACATTCAATAAGGCAAGGCATTCCGGTAGTGATTGATTGCTCGCACATTTATGGTGCAGACTATACTGCTGCAACTGTGGTTGAAACCATCACCAAGGACTTTGCCCTACGGAATCAGCCTCTTTTCTTTTACAACTTGAAACCTTCAGTGAGTGCTGTATTCGAAGGTCTATCTCCGCAAGATTTTGTGGTATACTATGATCACGATCAGCTGGATGATCTGTTGGAAAAACAGAATGCGAAAAAAACCGATACAAATAATATAGTCTGAACGTCGGCTTGGACTTGAATAAAACGTCTACATTAGCTGGAAGTAAAGAAAAAAACGAGACATCGAAGAACACTCTCACGCATGTTTCAATAACTTTCAGCCGTTTTTGTTATGGATTCAAAAGAATTTACGATGCATCCGATTAAGAGTTGGGGTTTGATTGGCGATGATTGCAAAAGATCTTATTTTTAAATTAATGACGCAAAGAACCAGGATTTTTCAATTTGACCTTAATAAATTCAATTACCGAACTCAGCGAAACATGTGTTGAATGTGTCTCGTCCTTAGAAATGAATTATGATATCACAATTAACGCTCGATGGGCCCATTGTGGATTTGCACATTACCGAAGTATTATTAACATAATTTATTTATAGGCATCTTCTCAAGCGATTTGTACTTACGGTTTTATTTTGTATATATTAGCGTAGTTTATGTGTAGCTGTTGATTGTACTGTGATATTAAATGACTAATAAAATAACGACCAATGTTTTACTTAATCAGAATAAGCCACCGTTTAATTAATACACCGTGCTGTAAACCGGCAATTATACAGGGCGGATCGTACTGGATGGGTTATAGAGATTTAACCAACCACACATTTGAAAAATATACTTTGTACTACACTTTTAAATATATAACTTGATTTATTTTCCTAGTTTTATCTAACTTTGGTTGTATTGGACGCTCTACGGCTTGAAGAGTTAAACTTGTTGCCCTCGTGCACTCAATTAAAGATGATGTTCATATTTAATTGGGATTCGTAAATCCTGCAATCACASATTTTCGCTCATTTCAACTTYTTAGGCCTTACCAAACTTTCCAATCTCACTGTTCCTGCTACTTCACTAGAATCTCCATAGCGCAAAAAAAATCCACACCTACCATTTTCATTGTGGCTGATTATTTTTAGTATTATAMAATTAATCAATTTTCGAGAACAGTTCCACTTTTTAACATTCATTTATCGTTGTTATTTATCGCAAAAAAACACGTGGCATTTCTGGCTGTGGCCGTTTTTAATTAATTTTCTCATATACTGCGATATTCTTTGCATCAAAAGACGATCTGACCTAACTTTTATCAACAAAAAAATGTCTGGTTCCTCTGCTATTGATAGTCAAAATTCATCAAGAAATTATCTTTTTTGAAATATCGGGAGAATGGTTCGATGTATTTTAGTGAAATTCGCCGTGCAAAAGGACTCATATTTTGGATGAAACAATCGAATTCATCCGTTTTGGACAAGTGGTGAATCTTAAGTGTCGAGGTATTTAAACTACCAGAACCTTTAATTTGGTGGATGAAATCAACTCATTTTTTTTGGTTGATGCACTAATATTGTATTCACAATTTTATGCTTATTGTAAAATCTTGCAGCATTCAGTTTTTGCGAATTAGAAGAATTATTTTTGACTTTAACATTTTTTTTACACCTCAAACCCATATCGTTCGGCATTATACGAAGCTAATATATTSTTTGATAGAAWTTACCTGCTATAGGTTACCAAAAATWAAAAAAATGCAGTTTWTATCACTTTATTAATATGTATAAACGTTGGAACATTTATCCATATAACACATAATAAATACGAGATGTTTAATATGGCAACAATTTGGCCTCAATTATATAATGATTTTTAAAAAATTGAGCACAAACCATGTTAATTATATGGAAGAGTACATGCACATATATTATAGTAAAATACTGACATATACCTAAATGCATTTGTTTTAGATTTTGTGCCCCCAAATAAAACGTACAACTATATTAACAACTATGAGAATTTTTAACACTAAGTTTTAAATTGTCAATTTCTACTAACTGTAAGTGCTGATTAATGCTACATAATAACATTTGAAACAGACAAAAGACAAACAAACTGCCACTACGTTAGATTATTATAATTAAATTAGCTTGGAATTTAAAAAATGTGTATTTTTAGTTCGTTCTTCATTAACTTAGTAATTGCTTAAAAGCCATTAAAATTTAAACTAAGTGTGCAATTGTTCAGATCAAGAAAATTATCTAAGAAAACAAGAGCACACAAAACTTTGCTAGTAGCCAAATTAACTAAATATAAATTGCCTAGTGGATCATAATCGCATAACAAAAAGAACAGCCTGTGACAATTCCACAACACACAAAACTCTGATTAGGAAAACGAATAATAGCACAGCTACAATATAAAAATAATCTATATTGAGCACATGATGTATTGGAATGTGTTCGAAAGGGTTGATTAACTAGCTCGGAACACATGCCTTGAACATTTTGATCTATAATATATTTACCTATTCGCATAGAGAAATCCGATATGTAGCATCGGTTTGAAGCACTGCTGCACACAATAAAGTGCAGTAAATCAAAAGCAAATAACTAAACTGTATTTACACACATATCACAAATTAAAAGCCATAGAATCTCGAACAACTTACATTTACTAGAGACAGTCCAAATGTGAGTAACGCAAATGTACAACTTGACGTAAACAATGATGTTTTTTGCCTAATTTTTATCTACCAATAAAAATGATAAAAACAACGAAAATTGCTAAACTGTTTCAGTCTGTACAATCGCTATTCTTTTCCAGTGTACACTCCTCTATTTCAGTCGGGTTTGTTTAAAATCTACTGTTCCCTGAAACATTAATAAGTGTTAAAGAAATTGCAATATTTTCCTGTTATTGAGTTGTATTATAAACAAAAAATGCAAGTTCCAAATTGAGCTGAAATTATTTGCGTTCATATCTCCTTATCAAACCTTTCAGGTCAATCTTTTATTTGTCAAATATTGTTATTTTTAGGAGCATATCCATGCTTGTATTTAATATAAAACAATTAAACATTTGTTACTGCAGTGAAATCTGCTGAGGTTAAAAACGAATTTCTATAGATTTTTGATGAATACTTGAGTACAAACAAAACGCAGTTTTTTTTTAGTCAAATTCAAATAATTAGTTTCTTGGTTTCATATGCATTAATTACATTTTTTCTGCCATGAGGTTATTCTTTCGACCAACCCAAATATGTAACGCTTAATTTTTATTGGATTTATTGCAGTATACTTAATCAGTAATTTGTGCTGTGGAGTCTGCGAGACTCGATATTCCTGATTATTTTGTAATTAATCTTAAACCGAAGAACACTGAAACTTTCGGCATCAGCAACCTAAATTGTTCGAAAAACAAAAAAATTTATTTCAAAACTAAAGACAAGATGATTCGAAGCATTACCTTTGAGTCCGGGTTTTATGTTCAAAAATGAAAACAAAAGTTTATATAGACTTTTGTAAAATAACAGCAAACGGTTATTTTTCCACATACACAGTGTAAGTTTGCAGTTTTTTCTTACCTATAGCTCCTAAAGTTATAGAGAAATTTCCTCGAGATTTTTAGACATGTCAGTGGATTGTTAAATTCTAAAGGGCGTACATTTTTCTAGGATCGTGCTTTATTTACTACTCCGCAGTATTTTTGATGCGCCATAAAAATCTGACGACACACTTTCTTTCAAATTCCCTGTTTTTTTTATTTAGAATATTTTTTCCCATACAATTTTTCGTATCTACCAGTTTTATTTGCGAATATATCAGAAAACACGAAAAAACGATACTCGATACGAAAAAATTGTAATAGGCATAAAATATTGGCCAATAAATTTGCATCAAACTTATCGATCAGTTGGTGTGTCTAATAATAAATTAGAGCATAATAAATTAGGAATGTTTCAAATTTGAAACAAATATCTGAATAACTCAAGGAGTTATAAAGAAAAAGCGTGGAAATATTTCAAACTTTGGCACCCTGTATTTTGAAAACAAACTGTTTGCATATTTTAGTTTGTTCATAACCATATTTGCAGGAATTTGCTCGATATAAATGGATTAATTTCGCTTTTTTCGCTGCTTAACCACATTAGGACTTATTTCATTTTGTAAAATAATTAAATCTGTATCCATACATTTATAATAGACCTGGGTAACACTGTGTTGAATTGCGCTTTTGAGTTGATGCCGCTCTGTGAGTTCGTGAGTTATAACTCATCGCGCCGCACCTCGAATTGCCAGGGCACATTTAATTAGTTGAAATTTCTTTCTAATATCGCTCGGAAATTAATTAATTGAGCAACATTTTCATTTTTAAGTGATTTCTTCGCGCTTTTTTTGTTTGGTATCGAATTGCTCTTTGACTATTGTTGTGTCGATGGGGATGAAGTCATCGTCTCGAAAGTACCAATATTGTTTATATTTTAATGTTTAATCATACAGTAGAACCAGCCGATGCTTCTCGACACTGTTTTAAATCCCAGAATTATAATACGAAAACATTAAAATCCTTTCAAGACCAAATGAAACCAATTGAAATTACATTTACTAAATTTTACTTACCCTCCGCTTCCAGGGTAGTAATATGGTGGGGGCCGCTCGTATTCCGTTGGTGCTCGCTGGTAATGCGGTGGTCCCCCGTTTGGGAAATCCTCCCAGTGTCTGAAAGAAATCACCAAAGCAACAATTAACGAGAAGCAAACAATCACATAACAAAAGCCGCTCATAAAGCTATTTATGCAAAAAATTATAACATTGTTTTGATGGTTTAAATACGAATATTTGACCTGCGATGTCTAAGCATCAATCATAACAAATTTAAACAATTATAAAGAACAAACAAATGTGAAAAGAAGCACAGCGCAAAAGGAGACATTAGGCAAACAGGAACCACCTTACTACAGTTCCAACATCGTACAAAACCAGATAAGAAATAAATGCTATAAATTTAACTCAATAATATATTTTAAAGGATAATATAAAATAAAATAAATATATTAGTATATAACAAATTATGCTTATTTCACTCTTAAAACCTTGTAGACGTTACAAAATTGCCATTGGTATCAGGTCTGCCATCTGGTCTAAAGGAATGGCCGCCGTAATTACTATAAACGTATAATAATTATGACAATTGGTTGTTTCCAGTGTTTAATTTAATTTAAGAAAATCTTCAAGAATGTCATGTTCGGGACTATTCAAAACAATCAGTAAATTCCAATCTTTATCGAAATTTGAAATGTTTTACGCTCAGTAAACTCAAGCATCCATAAACCAAGGTCTCGATGCCGATATAAAGGAAAAGAAAAATTAGGACTTACTTAGGTGCCATATCTGCATATCGCTCGCCAGGTGGATGAGACCCAGCTGCATAATCCCTGGCAACTTCACGTCCTGCATTTGGCCTTTCCTCGTACCTCTTCGACTTTTTTCCTTTCTTCTTGCTGCGTTTACCTCCACGGCTGAAATCAGCACAAGACAATAATAAATGAACCTCAGCCAACTAATAAGAGGTTGAATTAAAAATTATGTTAGACTGCAAAAAGTAGCAAAAAAGAAACGTTAGTAAACATGTAATGGTTATTTAGTTAAATGCAGTGTTTTGGAACTACCGAGGCAGTTTTCTGGTGTTGTAGATAAAAGTTAGAGTATATTGAAAGCAAGCTCTAATTGTGTGTGTAACAGAAAATATTTTTTTCCATTGAACCTGCGATGTGATATATGTTGTAGATAGTGGTGATTGCTTTTGTGAACCAAAGAGGGAATACCAAACTCAATGTCCAAAAAATTCACAAAAACCTTGAACTTCCAGTTTAAAAGCAAAGAAAGAAACATGCGCCATGAAGAAATTAACATAACTCAGAAAACGGGTTGGCTTCAAAGTGGAAGTTTCTCAGTGGCGTTTCTAAGTTTTAAAGTGGCGATTTCTGATGCATGCGTCCGATGTTGCAGAAAGTACGGCTGTCCCATGAATCCGTTAACTTTATGTTATCATTATTTAATGCTTGTTGAATTTCGATATCGTAATTCCCACTCTAATCTAAGAGAAGCAAAGATGAACGGCTGAAAAATATGTAATAAAAATGGATCCGGGAACTTTGCTTCAAAAGGTTTTACTAAATATCAGTTTCAAAATGGTTGCTTTCACGCAACTCGCTGTCTACATAAAGAGGTGCGGCGTCCAAATTAACTCAAATAGGAATTTGAAATGTGCATTAATTTTAGAGAACACTTGACTTGAAAGATGCTGAAGGGCCCGAACTCCGATTTTTGCAAACTTAGTAAATATCGGTCTCAAAATGAATGTTTCTACCCAACTGGAATTTCTCCTTTAAAAATTCACGCCTTCCAAACTAAAGCAAATAACAATTTCAGCATCTTTAGAAAAGCTCTCACTCTAAAGATGCTGAATTTTTCCGTAAAAATCGACCCAAATTCCGATTTTTGCCAGCTCAGTAAGTATTGGTTTCAAAATAATGTTTTCAGCCAATTGCGGCGCTTTCTCCTTTGAAAATTCACGTGTCCAAATAATAGCAAATAACAATCTGAAAAGTTCATCATCTTTAGAAACCCGTTCACCATAAACCAGCCCCAATATTTTGTAGATTCGTAAAAATTGATATTGTCAGTCAACTACGTTCTCTCTAGAAAAAAGTCGAATCTTCGAAACGAAAGCAAGACATAATTTGACAATTTTACCATCTTTAGAAGCCCATAGAATCTAATGTTGAAAGTTTGGTAAAATTTCCGTTTTGTAAATATCAGTCTCAAAATTGATGTTTTTATCAAACTGTGCTCTGTCTTTTAAAAGTCCAGTTCTTCCAAATAGAAGCAAGTAAAACTTTGAAAACTCCACCATGTTTAGAAAATTTTTCGCGCTTAAGTTGCCGTAAGTTTCGTAAAAATCGACCAGATTAACAATGTTTGCTAGCTTAGTCAATATCGATCTCAAAATATGTCTACTCAACTACGTTCTCTCTCGATTAAAAATGCGTATCTTCCAAACTAAAGCAAGTCACAATTTTAATTTTTCACCATCCTTAAAAAACAGTTGACTCTAAAAAAGTTCAACGTTTGGTAAACTGAACTCCTGATTTTTGCCAGGTCAGTAAATATCGGTCTCAAAATGTTTTTACCCAACTGCGCTTGCTCCTTCCATACTAAAGCAAATAACAATTCGAAAAGCTCATCATCTTTAGAAAACTTGTCACTCTAAAGATGCTGAAGGTTTCGTAGAAAGTAATCAAAACCTCGGCTTTTTCCAGCTTCGAAAAAATCGGTTTAAAAATGATGTTGTCAATCAACTACGCTCTCGCCTTTAAAAAATAGTATCTTTCACTGTGTCTGCCTTTAGTAAGCCAGACACAGTTTGAATTTTTCACCCTATTTACAAATCGTTTCACTCCAAAGACCTTGAAAGTTTGGTAAAAATCATTTAAAATCCTGATTTTGCCGGTTTAGTAAATATCAGTCTCAAATGGATGCCTCTACCCAACTGCAATTTCTCCTTTAAAAATGCATGTCTTCCAAACTAAGGCAAATAACAATTTGAAAAGAACACCATCTTTGGAAGAACTCTCACTCGAAAGATACTGAAAGTTTCGTAAAAATGAACCAAAATGCCGATTATTTCCAGGTTCCCAAAATCGGTCTAAAAATTGATGTTTCCAGTCTACTCCGGCTCTTCTTTAGAAAATCCTATTTTGCAAACTGAAGCAAGTCACAAGTTGAAATATTCACCATCTTTACCAGACCCTTGACTCTAAAAGCGTTGATAGGTTTATAAAATTATATATATTTTATAATGAAATTTGATCTTTTTCTTCAAACGACTCCATAAAAATGTCGGCAAGGACGATCTGATACTGTTGCTCATGCATTTCGCAAAATCTAAATATAATAATAATAACACTTCAGCTTAGGCTGGACTGTACGAGCCGGGGCAGCACGCATTCAACGCATCCACACCAGAAAATCTCCTAGTAAGCACGTTTCAAGAATAAAATATTTAAAAAGTTGTTAACGAATTAAAAAATTGTAGATGAACAATTAAAACTCGTTGTTGACTTACGAAAGTCGCAACACGCGAAGAAAACAGAAAGAGTGAGTTACAATCATAGAACGACTAATGAAGTACGCGAGAATTAAAAAGAACCCCAATAAATATGTAGGAAATAAACCAACAAGATAAACTACATCGAGAAGAAACCAGAATGAAAGAGTTTAGATTGGCACTAGTTGGTTCAACCTTCCCATGTGTTAGTTCACTCAGCCACTGAAGCAAACTACCACAAAACAAGATTATATTTTTAGCTCTACCACATGCGAAACTCACCTGTTCAAGGGAATATTATCCCCCCGATCGGCATACGCGTCATACAAATATTCGCTGCAAAATAACATAAAAACAATACATTTAAACTGAAAACAGTAACAAATGCTGGTGTGTTACAAACTATTTGGAAGTTTACAAAATAAAAAGCACCACAGTTTGTAAAGTTAGGACCACAAATTTAAATATTAACAGTCAAGGCAACATATTTTTATACAGCTTAGGAATGGAGTTTTAGTGTTTTTTTAGGTAAATGTACTCGTGATGTAAAGCAAATGTTTGCTTTCGTTTTGATGCTTTAATTGAATAAGAATTTTTCTCAATTTTATCAGTTTACATGTCCCTTAATCGAAAAGCAGTAATTTGTGGATATTGATCACAAAGTCAAACACAAAACTGAATTGAACATTTACTTCCACAGAAGCCCGGTGTATTACTTTGTGTTACTTTGTTTAAAGCAGGTTCGTGCTAAACAGCTATTTAATGCAGCAATATATTAATAATAAGGTTACATTTTTAATTAGGTTTCCGTAGATTTAAACGACTCAACTAATTTATTGCCATACTGGTTTTATCTGTTTTATATAAACGTATGATGTGTCATTTTGCGCCAATACTAAAGTGTACACATAGATGAAGTAGATATCTAAAGATGCAGATTTAATGAAAAGCAATTTGTCAAGCTCTAAAAATGTATGCATTAATAACTTACGTTTCAATGTACTGATCATATGGCTTATGCTTCTTGTAGAGATTACCCAAACTTGTAGCAACAAAAATTGTAATAACGTATAGGATGCTTGTCCAGAAGAGACTGAACCAAAATCCATTCTAGAAACATAATAGAAATAATTTAATAAAATTGTTGAAAAATCTTCATTATTAAAAAAATTTAAAAAGTTTAAAATTCTTCATTATTAACTTAAGATGCTTACCCAAGGTGTTAATACTTTATCACAAGTTGAAGTGAGGGTAGAGTTAATGACTAGACTTAGAGGACCACATTGCCCAATTTTTACTTCTATATGATCCTGAACTCTATCTAAATAAGTTGTTATTATCATCAGTGTAGTGTTGGCAAAAATCTGCGCAGTCTAAAATAAAAAATAACCATTAATAATCTTAAAAGAAAAAAACATTAAAATGGTCAAACGTCGCATGTTACGTTAAGAAAATATCAAGAAATATCAGTTTAAATATCTTCAAAACTGAGACATTATTAATGTAAGCAAGACTAAAGGTAAGGCAGAGAAAGAGCAGAATAAAACAATCGATATAGCAGGAGTGTTTTGCATCGATATTAATAAGAAAATATAATTGACGCGGAGATGAAGAAAAGTTCTAACTGATAAAACAAATAAAAGCATTGTAGAAAAGAGCATAAGTTAAAAAATTTGAAAATAAATATCTCGTAATAGTGGAATTGACGACATTTCAAAGGCGAAGTTTTCTTATAAAGGCGTAGGTTGCACTTTACTTAACCGTCTCGTGTCTATTTTTTTTCTAAATGTTTATGTAAAGAGTCCACCTCAAAGATTCTTACAACTCCAGAGATTTTAGACCATTTCCGAGATGTAGGTTAATTTATAAGGAAAAAGGTTTTCTTATTCTTAGTTCGACGTTTTAAGAAGTAAGGACGTTACAACTTTTTACAAATTTTTACAACTCTAGAGATTTTAGACCATTTCCGAGATGTAGGTTAATTTATAAGGAAAAAGGTTTTCTTATTCTTAGTTCAACGTTTTAAGAAGTAAGGACGTAAAGACTGAATGGGTATTTCCAACCGTTTCTGAGATATTGGCCGATTTACACTCCATTTGTTAAAAAACAATTCTCAAGACGCTTTAAAAAAAGTCCTAATGAGTATTCAAATTATTAACCGATGTCTCGTTTCGTCGCATTTTATTACAAAGTTCAAATGTAGAAACAAATCATTACTATATATTGCAAAATTACAAACAAAATATAGCGTTTCTATTGAATGTATTTAAGTGGATCTCTGCCAAAAGCATTTACAAAAATGTTGTTGTTATTTTCCAATCGGAAGCGTTATACTGTCCACTAAACCTTTTCCAGAATTTTTGGAGAACGGAGAAAATGGACTGAATGATTAAAAAGTTGTGACTGCTTGTACTCCGGTATTTGTAAGTAAATACTTGTGTGAATAAGCATTGTCGTCTTATGAAAAAGGCATTCATTCTATATGCAGTGAGCACTTTCCATAGAGTAAAGGCATGAATTTTAAGTAAGCATTTATTACTATTTTATTCACTTGGCTGCATACTTTACCTCGTTTAATCGGGCAGGCCCTTCGGTGCGCAATACATCTTGAATGTGATTAATGTCTTCTGTTAAAGCTTCTATTGCTTCCTGGAAGGTGTTGTAGCCCATATTGAGTTGTTCTGTCAAGTTTAAAACATTGGCCTGCAAAAGAATTGTTATTGTGTCGCAGGCAACAATAACCGAATGCTCTGAACTTACCACTAGTGTTTGAGACACGTTCTTCATTGGGATAATTAATTTTTCATTATAAGTGTTCAAATGCAATAAACTAAGTTCCAGCTCAGATTTCAAAGTCTCTCTACTGGAAGGTAACGCAGAAATTACACTTCTTAAACCATCCGATAACTCATCCAGGTTGTAATTGGTTAAATTCCGGCTTAACTGGGAAGGAAAAATCAGTTATTCAGACACCGAGTTGTTTAACATTTACGTTACAGGAAAATCTACTAAGCCATCATGAAATTAAATATAAAACATCTTCAACAAGCTATTTCTTACCTCATCTATGAAGCCGTCCGAATTAATATCTGGATTAAACTTTGCCAAGTTGTCTAAAGTGTTCCCATCAATGATTGTAAAATTATCAGGAATAATTGAACCATTAAACTGGAGATTTTTCATTGCTTCCGAAATATCGAACTTGGCTCGAATTTCGTCCAGTTTAAACTTTGTTTGCAAATTAAACGTGGTGTAAATGCTTTTATTCTGGAAACAATTCGACAGCAAAGTACTGGGAGTCACATCAATACCAAAGTCCAGGTTGTAGTCATCCAATAATCGTATTAGAGTAAATTGATCTGGATCGGGATTACTTAAGGGATCGCAAATAACTCGCTCTGAAATTACTCCCACAAGGAGAAACAGCAGCGTGATCAGTGAGATAATAAAGCCAAAGAGGAACATGAACGCCACAGCACTGAAAGAAAATCTAATTTGTAAGCTTATAGGAAATAAATAAGTCAGCGAATCGACAACCCCCATGAATCCCAAATCATTTCATACTGAAAGAAAAAACGGGCACATGAAATGTTTATAGTTGCTGGCTAAATATAACTTTCTGGTACTTTGAAGTTTATAGGAGAATAGCTTCACATATACAGAGTGATTCATAAATATGCCGACGAACTTTTAAGGGTGGTAGCAGCCTACGTCAATTTTAAATTTTTCTTTGCCTTGCTGATTGCTTGCATGACCAAATAGACATGAAGATATAAATGCGAACACGTTATAGACCAGAATACCAATTATAGGTACATACAAAAAATGAAGTTTCCTGGGTAAATGTTACGCTGTTTAATTAGGTTACAAAATTGATTAAATGTGTAATTTTTTTTCGTTATTTATTGATTAATGTTAGTAAATTGATTAATTCACACAGTTGAGTCAATTTTCATTTCGCAACTGGAAATGTAGGATGGGAACTTTCGATTTCGTAACTTATGACGAAAAGCGCAAAATGATTTTCAAGCATCAACGCCTTGTTTTAGGCTCTTTTCGATACTCTACAGACCAAAAAGAGCCAAGGAAATTTCTAAATTGATCAAGAAATTTAGGAAATTGTCGTTAGATTTCAGCAACGCGCCACAAAAATGTTCAAGGTTGAATCATGTAGACGGCAACAGTTAGAACCAAAAAACAAAATAAAATGTATAATTTCAACACCGTGTGTCTCAGGCAAAAATAATTACTTGGTGCCTTGCGACATTAAAAAATTTGTCGGGATATTTATGAAACACCCGATAGTTCTCACGGTCAAATTAATATTAAATAAAATAGTATATTGTTTACATTTGATATGATGCGTAATAATGGTATCAATTGAATAATTCAGCGTACTTCTTGTAAACATTGAATAGTTTGGAACATGATTACATTTGAATATAGAGATTGTGATGTCTTCAGGAGTCTTTCACAATAAACGCTTATGCAAAACAAATTCAACGCAATATAAGAATGAATTGAAAAGACGCCTATTTGATTTATAAAAATTGACTTGGTGGCATACTTAGATTTTGGCCACCCTATGAAATTTAAAATACCAGAAAAAATACTTTCTATAACCGATCGGGTCGATAGTCTTTTTCTATAGGAAATAAAGATTATTTATATACTTTCTATACAGCCACACAGCTTTGTACGAAGTTTTCAGTCTCTATGCGCGTAAAATTTAAGAGAGGGTGTCGTTTCACTGAGCCGTAAAAAATAATAAAACTGAAATAATTGGTTTGTCTTGGGTCAACGATTCGTCTATATTTTAGCCTTCTTCAAGACTCACAAATAAAATATTCGAAGAGCTTATGCTCTTGTGAGCTTTCAACATTAGGTTGGCATAAGTTCAGTACCCAAAGTTCTCTCTACTATGTTATTACATCCTCTCTTAGATTACTGCAAGAAAACACATAATTTGCGAGCCCTGATAATGGCTAAAATATAACTAAAAAGGTGGGACGAGAATAAATATAAAATAGAAAGAAAACAAAGCACAAAGTTGTGCTTTATTCGCATGCGATTGCCCGGAAAACTCTCGTAACATGTAACAATAAAAGTTACTATTTTTAAGATTATTTTATCAAATTTTGAAAAACAGTAGAAATTAGCTTCAAAACAAACTCAATCGCATATTTTTATTAATTGTTGTTACGAATAATCCCAAGATGGAACTTCTGGAGCTCTATTAATTGCATTTTATCCATAGTTGACTACTAGTCCTACATTGCCGAGGGCAAAATGCAGATTTAGGAAAATGACCACTTAAACGTAGTAATAAAAGATTCTTACCAGCATAAGAAGTTACTACCAGTTCCTTTATTGCAACAGTTGTCACTGTAGCCATCAGGTCTTTTCCCACACACTCCACAAATAAGACCGAAGAAAATAAAGACAACTATTGATAACAAAGCACAGCTGATGGTTACGCCAAAATAAAATCGATATTTTCCATTATTATCAATGAATTGTTGCGAACTTTTAATAGCATTGGACGCAGATGAATCGATTTGTTTCTTCACATCATTCACAGAGCCAGTAACGCTATCAAGATTTTCTGTGATTATGGTTTGTCCATTTGCCAACTGTGTCTTCGCTTCATTTAAACCTTTATTCAAAGCATCTGATAAGCTGACTCTAATATTGTTTAACGATTTCTGGCCAGCATCTACGTCGTTTTGAATGTTAGCTATATTAAGACTACCTAAACTTGCAATTGTACTGCTCACATCAGGGACCTATTTAGGAATAATAAAGATGTATAAATGAGGCATCAACTTAAATCAACTATACAAAGCAACTATCTCAAATGTAAGTCTGCACCATGCATGTTTTCACGTGATATTGTCGAGTAATAATTGGTAAATTTAAAAAGCACAGCATTTCTGCATAGCCACTAAACCAACGAACAGAAATAATTCATTCAATTACAGATAAATGTAATCGATCAAGTTTTAGACAGTGTAATGAAAATAGATTCATAAAGTCGACTGTAATTATTCAGTTGACCATCCTATTTTTTAAATGGATGTTTATTCTATTTAAAACCATGTAATATAAACCAGTTACATTGATGGTTACATACTATGATAATTGTCCTGAGCGTCTGAAGAAAGCATAAGTTATTTATATTATCATTGCCATTTGTAGATAACATTTGCTTGATTAAGCACTTTTTTGTAAGATTTATAAAACTGGCACATTAGCATGTGGGTACCTTTTACTGTATGCAAAAAACGGTAACGATGTGTGATGTGATCTAATATATCTACGGCTGTAATACTAATAATAATACGTTTGGCGAGCAAAACTAAAATGGCAAAAAACGGCAATAAACCCATGGATTTATTAAATAACTTCAAAGCATGAAATAAAATAGCAAATCGATAAAACTTTTCTAAATTCATGCAACAAATGTACCAGCAGGATGAAATCGATGCATTTTGCAACTGTACAACCAACTTACCCTTGGAAAATATCTATCAAGGTACTGCACGTAAAAATAAAACACAACAATTAAAAAATCGCAGATGAAATTGGGTGAACGTTTCTTATAGTAACATGTAGAGTATAGTTAAAATATAATCAAATAGTTAATTGATAACTATACTCCAAAAAAAGCGGCGCACCATATTTTTTGAAAAAGTTAGAGTATTGTAACTTTTATAGCAATTAACCGAGTTTAATATATTTTTTTGGTTTCTAGCTTAATTGTTTGGCTAAACCTAGAATGGGAGAATTTTCATATTTGTTTTTTATTTAGATTGGGACTGCATGTATTAAACAAGGGCAGAAATACCGATAGGTCGATAGCCTTTTTTAGAAATAAAGATGTTTACTACTACTATTGTTAACCTAGAATAGGAGAATTTTCATATTGGTTTTTTATCTAGATTAAGACTGCATGTATTAAACAAGGGCAGAAAGACCGATAGGTCGATAGCCTTTTTTAGAAATAAAGATGTTTACTACTACTACTGTTTGGCTATTACTTCAAACGTAAGAAATGTTGACTCGTTATTTCCCAGAACAAATAATGAAAAAAAGTCCTCGAAACAGCGCATTTTTGTAAACATTTGTTTTTAATCGGTTTTATCTTAAAAAGTAACGAAATTATCGACTCGAATATTTACTAAATTCCGTGTGTTAGAACATTTCTGTTATTTTTAAAGATAACAATGGTGCATCAAAGGAGTATAAAAAAGTTGGTATCGTATATGTTTGAGATCCGGCATTCATTTGAACTTTTTATTGCATTCAGCCAAAAATTATCTTGTCTAAATGTTCAAACTTTCAACATTTTAGTATCATTACAGCGGCAGAAGTGCTAACGTTTGAGTCCCAACTAAATGTATATTTAATTGTTTTTTAATATTTAATTAATCTTGAAAGTGCAATTTTTCACCATAGCAAAAGAAATTTGGAAACCAACGTTTCTGCACACTCTGAATACGGTCTATTATGTCCAAAAACATGTTTTTAAATCCACTTACTACTTACTAACTTTTAAAAATATTGTTTCTTATTTATTTTATTACTTTCTATTATAACGCACACATACGCTCATTTTACACTCATTTTGTCATAATTTGACCCAAGAATTATAAGTAAGTGTGTACCAGTTGGTAAGTGAAAAGTACGTAAATTTAGAAAACAGGTGCAGATTTTCCATTAAAAGAACAAAGCAGAATATAATTGTCAATTTAATCATCAAAGAAAGTGATGATGACAATGAAAAAATAACTGATAACTTACCTGGCTAAAATCTATATTTGTTTGTAACAAATCTATCTTCTTTTTAAAGTCTGAACATTCCGGCAAATATGAGCAATCGTTTAAAGTTTTGGTAAGATCTCGTTTCACTTTCCTAAGGGCTGCAAAATAAAACTTATTTTGATTTACCTATCGCTTGCTTGCAGAATGCATTCAAGTATAATTCTCTCAAGCATTTAAGTAAAATCGTTACAACAGCTTAAAAGAAACATCGAAAACTTACCATCGTTTAGCTGAGACGCATAAACCCTTAGTCGATTAGTGTCGCTTTTCAGCTCATACAGGGTGTTATTCACATTTCCCAAATTCTCAGAAAAATCGAACAGTTTTGTTAGATTGGCAGCACCAGCAAACTCAAACAGCTGATTCATTGCAATCTCCGTACCATCTGAAAGTGCAAGACATTTTTTTATCACCAAAATGTTTGTAAATATTGAGTCTTAATTTCAAAATTAGATGTTTATTCGGCTCTCAAACCTCTATTACTTCTTGTTGAACTTGGATTTGAGCAAAGTAATTTATTATTGTAAATCTGAAGTCACAGTGACCAAATTAGCCTGAAACTATCTAAATTGAGTTAACGAATATACATTTATTTTGAAACAATTTCCATCTTTAAACTCAAATTGTACGATTATAATGCTGAATGCTTTCTCAAGTTTAGCCTGGTTCTATTATTCTATTATATTTATGTCACTATATATAAATTGTAAAATTTTGAGATAATTTTAATTTGTAAGTAAAAAATAGTTCAGGCCATGGGAAATATAGATGTGTGTGGTTACAGAGTGCTAACGTACCAACTACGAAATGCTCTTTAAAGCGCCAACATTTTAGCTTCAATGCGATGAATGGTAAAGATCAATAAATGATCTAATTGGCTAGATAGAGCAAATAAATATATACCAAAATAACAAGAAGGAATACGACAAACAAAAATTAAGCTTACTTACTTTGTAAAACATTATTGAGCGCAGTAGAAAATTCCTGATAATTGTTGGTTAATAAATGACGAAGGTGGGCGTTTGTGGTATCCATAAAGGTTTCAGTATCCCTAACGCTATAATTTAAATTTGTGGGAAATTCCTGAACTCCGTCCTCCAGTTGTTGGTTACTGGCGAACGCACAAACGATACAAAACCTGGAAAAAATTCAATGATTATTTACGGCAAAAAATAGTTAAAACTGTGCCAGTAAATAAAAAATTGCTAATTCAAACGCTGGTTCAGATTGTTAGTGGGAATTAGAAACCATTCAGATTCAGCATCAAAGCGATTTATAAAGTTTCAAAAATTAAACAATTTCAATAGCATAATTTATATTTAAGCCCGATGTTTTTCAATATCCTACCAATGAGTCTCATACATAGATTATACAAGCAATCCACAAATTCCCTGTAATCGTGCGTATTAGAAAACGAGATTAATTTCCTGCGGTATTAAGTATGAGTTATAAAAATACATTAGATATCGCATAGCTTAAGATGCTCATTTTTTTAAACTATTTTTTGTTTATGTTTTTGTGTTTCTTTATTTAAGCTTTTGAGTCACGTAAATATGTCAACTGAAGTAAAAGTAAGTGAGTAAAACTCACAACTTACAGTAATCCTGTGGTACACATTATCAGTAGAATTGCTTGAATCACTTTTTTGGAAGTATCCCTTCTTTTGTCGGATGGTAGCGCTTTGGCACCGCAATTGCCACAACATCGGCAACAACAGAAGCATAATCCACATAAGGGAAAAAGCACCACGCATAACAACAAAAATACCACAATTGCCACCAAACTGGCATAGTACTTGGTGATGGCAGTGAAATCAGGATTCTCTACTATATTAATATTATTCCCAGCATCAATCGATATCAATCCTAAAACAAAAATATTGCTTTATTAAGTGCTAATTAATACAATGTTTTCGATTTTTTTTTGGAAAATAATTTTCAGTTTGGGTGCAGATCGAGTGGTTAAAAATATGAGAAAAAGATAAATTACGAAATATGTAAACTAAAATGAAACACTTTTTGTTTTGATCGTTCGGATGAAATATTATATGAAACGCAATTTCCGCTGTTCTGGTTCATGTTAATGTTTAACTTTCTAACCAGTTTGCTGTGGGATCGAAAATATTAAATTCAATGTAAAATGTGGAAAAAAATTCACCGTATAATCAAACAATTAGCTTTAGTCACGCATATCATATAAACAGTTCAATTGGGAATATTAAAAAGAATTAACGATTAAGCTTGGAGTCTTTGAAATAAGGCACAAAATGCCCGACTATAAATCACTTTTCAAACTACTATATTTAACGCTCTGTATGTCTCAACAACTAAAAAATCATGTTCACACATATCAAAGAAATTATATTGATAGTACAAAAAACGTGCGTTCTTTTTTATGTTCTAGTACATAAATAAGCAAACATTTACATACAATGCCTAAGGCATTAGAATGGACTCCGCGCTCCAATCTCAAGTAATATTTTAATAAATTATAACAACGATACAGTAAAAACAACGAATAAAGTAAAGTAAAATGTCCATACGTTAGTGGTT